AGACAGACAATTGTAACTATCACCCAGACAGACAATTGTATTGTAACTATTACCCAGACAGACAATTGTAACTATCACCCAGACATACAATTGTGTTATTACTATCACCCAAGCAGACAATTGTAACTGTCATCCAGACAGACAATTGTATTGTAACTATCACCCAGAAAAACAATTGTGTTGTAACTATTACCCAGACAGACAATTGTAACTATCACCCAGACAGACAATTGTATTGTAACTATCACCCAGACATACAACTGTATTATTACTATCACCCAGACAAACAATTAATTGTATTATAACCATCACCCATGTCTGATAGAAGTAATTGTGCTGGCTAGTTTTATGTCAACTGAGAGGAGAGATCCTCGATTGAGAAAATTCCTCCATAAGATCAGGTTGTAGGCAGACCTGTAGGGCATTTTCTTAATTAGTGATTGATGGGGGAAGGTCCAGCCCACTGTGGGTGTGGCCACTCCTGTGCTGGTGATTGTGGGTTCTATAAGAAAGCAGGCTGAGCAAGCTATGGGGAGCAAGGTGGTAAGCAGCACCCCGACCCCAAGGCCTCTGCATCAGCATCCTGCCTCCAGGTTCCTGCCTGTTTGAGTTCCTGCCTTGACTTCCTTCAATAAGGAGCAGTGATGTCGAAGTGTAAGACAAATAACCCTTTTTCTACCCAAGTTGCTTGTGGTTGTGGTATTTCATCACAGCAAGAGTAATCCTAACTAAGATGGTAATACTAGTTTATCTAAGAAGAGTGACTGAATTACTACCTGTAGATTTCTGAGGAAATTACCCAGCACAAAGCTAATAAGAGCACTTCATGCATCAGATGCTCTGAAGACTTTTCAGGGCCCATAGATACCATGTCTGTTCCTACATTCCTTTGGTGATGGCATCCCCAAATCAGATCTAGAGAACTGCATCTGCATCTACCTTATGACCCAGAAGCCACATGAATAAGTGATCAGTGAATATTTCCTTACCCTCCATAGGCTATATATAATTAAGCCCCCCCCCCATTCCTCTCTCTTTCAGGACTGAGACTCAAACCAAGGGCTTTGTGTATATTAGCAATATTATACCACCATGCTATAGCCCTGGTCTTTCAGTTTATAAATTTATGTTCTGTGTCTGTATAATAAATTACATCACATCTTTACCATAACTTAAGTTTTTCATGATGCTTGGGAAAACCAACAACCCCCTTATGAGGCTCCCAATTCCTCAATGACCCCCCTGAAATGACATTTGGGTGAATACAGCCCCAAGATCTGCCAGACTGCAAATCTGCCCAGTCCTTCTCACTAATGGATTTAGTAGTTCCTGGGAGCTTCAGGATGAAATGATACCTCATTTACCTGGGACCAAGGGGCTCATGGCCTCACCCTTCTCAAACCCAAACATCAGTTCTTCCATGTTTTGCCATACCAGTCTCCTTGATCAGATTTTGCTTTCTCTACAATCGAATGCTTGGTAATGATTTACAAATCTGTCTCTATTCACTGCCTCTTCTCTGCACATCTGTGGTGGTTTGAGTAGGAATGACTTATTAAGACCCCAGAGACTCATATATTTGAATGTCTGATCATTAGGAAGTGGTGCCAGGAGGTGTTGCCTTGTTGGAGGAAGTGTGTGTCACTGGTGGTTGCACTTTGAGGTTTTAGAAGCTCAAGCCATGCCCAATGACTCACCTGCTGCCTGCTGATCCAGATGTAGAACTCTCAGCTCCTTCTCCAGCACCATGTCTGCCTGCACGCCGCCATGCTCCCTGCCATGGTGACAATGGACTCAACCTCTGAACTGTGAGCCAGCCCCAGTTAAACACTTTCCTTTGTGAGAGTTGCTGTGGTCATGGTGTCTCATCACAGCAATAGAACCTTGAATCAGACACTTCTCATCTCTTCCCAAACCTTATCTTCCACCTTCCTCTGTGATATACACTCATTTCAGACTCACAGATGTATATGTTACAGTGTATTCAAGCCAGACATTAAAGAAGAACATGCTTGTTTTGATTGTTAGACATCTTTGCTCCTAGAATAGCATTTTCCACCTCTCTTTTGTAGAAGAAATACAGGCTGCAAGTCTTCACCTTGCACTTTTCCCCAACACTCTTCTTGCACAACCTGTAAGTTTCAGTTCTCATCTTGTAGAATGTATTTCTCAAACCGGTTTGCCTGTTAGGAGTTCCAGACAATGTTTCAGGAGTAACATACAATGTGTCAATCAAGAAATTGTTCTAAATAACAACCAGTCTTACCCTGTTATACAGAAATTTCTCTTTCCCTTCCTTTGCAAGACATAGGGAAAATGTATTGTTTTATCCCCCAGAATAATGAGATTCTTAAACCACCTAAGGTTCCCTGTAGCTGGAGCTAACTTATCAAATAGCGTCTCCTCCAAGCATCCAAGCAAGGAAGACTGTGTGTCACCAACCAGCAGGGGCCACAGTACCACTTCAGCAACTGGAACTTTGATGTCATGGGGACTGTGATTATAGATGGTGCAAAACTTTACAAAAATAAAACCAAAGTTAAACGACATTAAAGGAAACAAAACAAATATTCTAAGAAGAGAATGAAGCCAAAGAAAGAAAATGACTCTGTGGGAGAAGATAACAAGGTCACGGTCTGGTTTCTGATTCTTAGCTCTGGACACAGTTTCTGGGAGGGGGTGTGGCCATTGCACTCTGCTCTTAAGTCTCTGCCGAGCCGGTTGTAAACAGTCTGACCTAATGTCTGTGGCTTTTTAATGAATGTTCACAGTTATTTTATATCTAAATCTCAGAGTCGTTTTTAAATATGTCTGCACAAAATGTTTGTTATTTCCTTAAGTGATGGTTCTAGCAGTATAAAGGGGCAATTTTCACTTAAATTTGAATCGTGTGTGTGTGTGTGTGTGTGTGTGTGTGTGTGTGTGTGCACGTAATTGCATGCATGTGAAAAGAGGGATAAGAGAGAAATGCATGGTGTTACTGGTTTTGAAAAGGCACAGCAGGGGCTGGAGAGATGGCTCAGTACTGAAGAGTGTGTACTGCCTTCCAGAGGACCCCAGTCCAGAGGATTGGAGTCCAGAGGACCCAGTCCAGAGGACCCAACTTCAGTTTTCAGAACCTGCATGAGGCCGTTCACAACTGCCTGTGACTCCAGCTCCAGTGAGTCAGATGCCACCCTCTCACCCTCAAGAGCACATGCTCTCATGTGCACACACACACACACACACACACACACACACACACGAAAATTTTGATGGAAACTTACAGCAGTTTCTGAAGTCAGTCAGTGTCTTTGTAAATCATTTATTGGTTTTTCAAACAGTCCCAGATGAGATATATAACCCACCCTGGAGTCTCTGCAAGCTTGGGAGGGATGCCAAACTCCTACCCTGGTTTTTAAGCAAGTATTAATTTGGATGTCTGCTCCAATTCCTCCTTCTCCCGCCTCCTCTTTTTGTCAGTACTGGATTGAATCTGGGGCCACACACATACAGGCGTGCACTCCATCACTTACATACCTATCTCTTTCACTTTTTAAGACAGGCTCTTACTAAGTTAGCCAGATTTACCCTGAACTTACTCTACAACTCAAAGCCTTGAACATGTGATCCTCCTGTGTCTACCGAGTGGGGATGATATTGTACTCCTTGAAACATTTGGTGGCACCTTGATTATCAACTCTGCAGTAAATCTCATCATTGTAGTACTAACATGCTCACTCTCATGATAATCAAATGACAACCCAAAGGACCTGATGGTTGTGAAGGGAATGATGCCAGAGCAAACAGGCTATCTTCTACACCACTGAATAGGTCTATAATCTGCCTTTAGTGCTGCAGTTCATTCTATGTAGAATTAGATCTTTTTTAAAAGCAGTGTTTAGTGTGTGTGTGTGTGTGTGTATGTGTGTGTGTGTGGGGTGCATGCCTGTACCTGCCACAGGGGTATGTGGAGGCCACAGGACAGCCTGTTGGAGTCATTTACTCTCTTTCCATCATGTGCATCCTAGGAATCTGACTCAGGCTGTCAGGCTTGCACAGAAAAAACCTCTTCCTGTTGAGCCATTTTGCAGCCCAGAACTAGAATCAAATAAACACAGCACAAGAGGCCTGGCTCACACATGAATTTGTGTTGATCTATTCAGATTCCATCCCTCAATATGCCTATATGTCAGGCAGGACCATAGGAAGAAGGAGACTGTCATGTTTTCAGGCTCAGAGTAGAAAACTAATTGGCCTACGTGGGATGGACTCAAACCTTGCACTAATCACCATGTTAACTTTAATACTCAGTTAGCCAGCCTCATTTCCCTGGTAAATAGTGACACAAAATCACTTAGAACCTATTTCAATAGTAGTCACACTGTCTGTTATCACATGCCAGCCTCACAGATTCCAGAGCTACTCACAAGGAACAGAGCATGCCTTTCCAAGTTCATCACCACTTGCTCAGCATGAAGCAGAACTATGAAAGCACCAGCCTCTGTCCATCCGTGATCAACTCCTTTGAACATGAAGATTCCAATGTGAGTATACATTTTCGGACTGACATTTTAAAATTATGAACATTAAAAATGTTAGATGCTGCCTGGCGGTGGTGGCACACACCTTTAATCCCAGCACTCAGGAGGCAGAGGCAGGCGGATCTCTGTGAGTTCGAGGCCAGCCTGGACTACCAAGTGAGTTCTAGGAAAAAGG